TCATTCCATTTGAAATGATTGACCACAATACTCATAGGATTTTTGGCAAACCCTCAGCCATCAACGGGTTTGATGAGCCTTTACCGACTACCGTTTGAGTCGGGCTAGCATGCAGATTGTTTAAATCCGTTCGCATGTAACGTTATGCTCGGAGATTGAATTCTCCGAGACTTTATGCTATGATGTCGAATACATAGACTTCGCCATTGTTACGGGAATAGGCTACCCGGCGACACGTGTTAGGTGTTGACTTCAGGATTTTTGGCTAACCCCCAGCCTTTAACGGATTTGATTAGCCTTTACCGACTACCGTTTGAGTCGGGCTAGCATGCGGATTATCGGAATCCGTTCCGCATGTAACGTTGTGCTAAGGGAATGAACTCCCTTAGACTTCGTGCTATGATGTCGAATACATAGACTTCGCCATTGTTACGGGAATAGGCTACCCGGCGACACGTGTTAGGTGTTGACTTTAGGATTTTTGGCTAACCCCCAGCCTTCAACGGGTTTGATTAGCCTTTACCGACTACCGTTTGAGTCGGGCTAGCATGCGGATTGTCTAAATCCGTTCGCATGTAACGTTGCGCTAAAGGAATGAACTCCCTTAGACTTTGTGCTACGACATTGAATACGTAGACTTCGCCATTGTCATGGGAATAGGCTACCCAGCAACGTGTATTAGACGCTGACTTATCCCTACTTAGGCTTCGGGATAAAATACCCCAGAATCGAACTCTGGTGTCTTTTTCAATCGGTAAAAGACTAAACCGGCGACACGTGTTAGGTGTCGACATATCCTTTCTTAGGATTCAGGATAAAATTCCCCATACGTGTAAGGCATGGATTTTGGTGTTATTAATAACAACCTGCCACAATGTTGAATATGTGGACGGGTGTTCTTTTTAACGGTTAAGAACTAACCGGCAGCACAGGTTAGGCGCAGACTTATCCTTGCTTAGGTTTCAGGATAGAATACCCCAGAATCGAACCCTGGTGTCTTTTTCTGGCAGCGCGTGTTAGGCGCAGACTTATCCCTGCTTAGGATTCGGGATAAACTTCCTAGGATGAATCCTAGATTGATAGATTCTTAGAAAAGGTTGGTGCGGGAAAGGAAGAATTTTATATTCTATTTCCCGGTCTTCTTTTAGGGTGAAGGCGAACCCAACAGACAAGGAAGGAAGAATTTTATATTCTATTCCTTGATTCTGGAAAGGAAGAATTTTATATTCTATTTCCAGCACAAAAGAAACTAGAAGTGGGATCTCCACTCCGAGAATCTGGAAAATTTAGATAAACTTGCCTTTTATAGGATTGGTTATCTAAACTGAAAAAAAAGTTCTTCGGTTTATCGAAGTGAAATTTTCAACTCCGGTTATAACCATGAAAAAGGTTTAACCAAAGAGAAGAAGAAAGGAGTTCTTTCGTTTATCGAAAGGGGACTCCGAACTGAAAGTGGACCTCTTGTTCATGGAAAGAGTCAAGAGGGCCAGAAAGACATTTTTGGTGGACCCACTGTCAATTGAAATTGATCAGTGAGGGATTTTGGTGGTGAAAATGATTTTGGGTTATCCTCTAGAATATTAAGTGTAATATTCTTCAAGGAACTTCCCGGTAAACGAGTTATCCTGAATGTACTAGGGATAGTACTTTTTCAGGAACTTCCCATTTATTGGCATTAATTGCCTGGCGCCCTCTTGAGTAATCAGGCGATATGCGCCGTTTGAATAGACTGTGTCTATTACAAACGGTCCTTCCCATTTGGGTTCGAATTTACCTTTCTTCTTGGAGGTGAGAATTATTGGTCGGCGAGCAGCGAGGACCAGATCTCCTTCCTTGAAGCTTCTCTGTCGGACTCTTTTGTTAAAAGCCCTAGACATCCTGGCCTGATAAAACTCAATTTGCTGTTGAGCTTCCAAGCGCTTTTCATCCAGCCTCTCAAGCTCTTCGAGACGCTTCTGATGCTGTTCTTCTGTCGTCATCTCTGTTGCGAGGGCGATCCGAAGAGATGGAATTTGAATTTCCAGCGGTAGCACAGCTTCACATCCGTATACCAGCGAATACGCGGTGGCACCTGTAGGCGTGCGTATGGTGGTGCGGTAAGCCCAGAGTGCCTCACCGAGTTTATCGTCCCAGTCTCGTTTATTGGTTTTCACGAGTTTTGACAGGATCTTAATGATCGTCTTGTTAAACGCCTCAGCTAATCCATTCACGGCGGGATAATAAGGTGTTGATGAAACGTCTTCAATTTTGAACTTGTCACAAAATCTGATGAAGGCGTTGCTTATAAATTGCGGACCGTTGTCATGAATGATCCGTCTTGGCACGCCGTGTCGGTAGATGACATGATGCTTGATGAAATTAATGACGTTGTTCGTCTTCACCTCTCACCATCGTTGGCCAGAAATATCTCATCCTCCTGATGCGATCATACAGTTTGGGACCGGGCTGATGCGCACCACATTCTCCTTCGTGCGCTTCCTTAAGAACTTCTTCTGCTTCTTTGTTCGAAAGGCATCGGAGTAATAAACCATCGTATCCCCTACGGTACAACGTATGGGTCTCGACATTATAAAAGAATCTTGGCGCTCTTCGGCGAATTGATTCCATTTCTTTTACGTCTTCTGGCAGAATACCATACTGGACGTAGTCAATGATGGGAAAATGCCAATCTCGAGACTCAGACCCAATTTGAGTTGAATTCACCTCCTTGGCGTTTACGTTTCCGTCATCTTCCTCTTCAATATCCCTACTGTATATGGGTACGCAGAGTTGATGCGTCCGTACTGTGACTAACAGCTCAGTTTCGGGAGGCTGTGCCAGTGATACCGCTAGTGCCGCCAGTGCATCTACATAAGCGTTCTGAAGACGAGGGATATATTCAATGAAGAATTCTTCAAAAGATTCTGCCATTTTGATGGCTTCCTGGTGGTACGGGATCAAGTCTTGGTTCCAAGACTCCACCGATGACATGCCTGGAACAAGGCTGATCTCGAGTCCATCTCGAGTCCAAGATGGTCTTGAGTTATCTGTAATTCGTCCTCAAAGAGGTCAGGTCCTAAGACCCTTTCTCTATGGCTGCTCATGGCCTTTTATAGAGAAGAAGGAGAGTGTAATCACTCCCTTAAATCATGAGAAGTGACCATTCTCATACTGAGTATGGTCATGAGGAAAATCATGACCAAATCCCTTAAATCGTGGGAAATGACTATTCCCATGCTGGGTACGGTCATGAGAATAACTAATCCCTTAATTCAAGGGATTTAACTGCTCCCATGCTTCAAGTGGGTGGCTGATAGGCTAGGCGAGCAGGCAAGGCTGTGCAGGCGAGCTTGTGTAGGCTAGACTGGATCATGCATGTGAGCTTCAAGCTAATAGGCGAACTTGCCTTCAAGCGAGCCTGGATCATTCAGGCGAGCTTCAAGCTGTCAGGCGAGCTCTGCAGGCTAGGCTGTGTAGGCAAACTTGCCTTCGGGCGAGCCTGGATCATGCAGGCGAGCTTGCCTTCATGCGAGCCTAGATCATACAGGCGAGCTTCAAGCTGTCAGGTAAGCTCTGTAGACTAGGTTGTGCAGGCGAACTTGCCTTCGGGCGAGCCTGGATCATGCAGGCGAGCTCTACAAACGAGGCTGTGCAGGCGAAGCTGGATCATGCAGGTGAGTTTCAAGCATTAGGAGAGCCCAAGGGGATCGTCAGGCGAGCTCCCAATTGTCGGGCAAGCTTGCCTTGTGTAGGCGAGCTTCAAACATGCATGTGAGCTTCAAGCATGTAGGCGAGCTTATGTCATGTAGGCAAGCTTCAAGCATGCATGCGAGCTTGGGTCATGTAGGTGAGCTCCCAACTGTTAGGCGAGCTTGCCTTGTGCAGGCGAGCTTCAAATATGCAAGCGAGCTTGGTAAGCGAGGCTGTGCAGGAGAGTCAACCTCATTTAGTCAAGCTTAAAGCTTTAAGCCTTCAGGCGAGCTAAACTCCTTTGCAGGCGGGATTGCTCTTCAGGAGAGCTCCGGAACATGCTACGAAGAACAGGTCGTAACTTTCAAACCGTAACTCAGAATTGGACGAATTATATATAAAAATCACCTATCTCGACGAGACGGGGTCAACCAAACCTCTGAATAGGGTTTGTCACCTCCGGTTTTCCAAATTTCTTACGGTTTGAGAGATATTAGCGTTTTCCCCTTTTTTGCTCTTTCGGGTGAGGTTTTAGCAGTCTTATTCTGAACTTCTCTGATAGGGATTAAAGGCAATTTTTATTGCCTACAATGACATTATCCCACTTAAAAATTATGTTAAACATCTCATTAATGTGTTCAGAAGCCATATGAAAAGTGATTCTCTTAAAGATTTTGTCAGGTTTGTAACTCTTTCTTGCTAAGTCGGCAAGAAAAGGAATGAGCTCATCATTATAACGGGAATCCCAGAATAAATGTTTGGTTCCTTGAGAACTACCAGCTTCAGCATTATTTTTGGATGTGGTGTTTTTCCTCTTCTTCTTTGGATTTGGCGACGCTTCTACCCCTTCTTCTATGAGGTCCCATTTGGAACCTACATCGGGAGTTAAACCATTACCACTAGTGGGAGAAAGCTGCACCCCACTAAGATTAGGACTGTGAAATTGTGAAGGCAAAGTTGGATTATTCAGCATGTTCGTATATGACCCAAGATGATGGTGCATTGGAAAGTAGCTGTTATCATAAAATGACATATTCGGGTATGCTTGAGGTGGTTGTACAAAGTACGACTGCTACAATCGAAAATAACCATCATCGCCATGATGCACAGACTGAGGGGGTTGAGATGGTTGGGAAGGTGATGGAACTACCCTCTTGCCTTTTTGATTATATCTCCCACTCAATGATGTATTATAAACCATTACTAATTAAATAGATAAAGTCAGATAACTGAAAGAATAGCGACATGAATTCATGGATTTAAAGCAGAACGTAAATACTGGAAATAGAGTTATTGAGTACATATATGAGCATAAACAGAACAAAAAAAAATCAAGTCTCTGTGATTACACCATGATTATACTTATCATAGTAGTCTACCCATATCGCCCAAGTAATGTCATCCCTAAGAGTCTTCCACTTATTTCTTGATTCAATTTGCTCTCTTTGGGTTTTATTTTGAGTAAAATCAACTAAATTAGTGTCATTGTCGAAGGCCACCTCACCATTAATGTCTTCATTAAATTGATCATCGTTGAGTAGTTCATCACTTGGATCCACAGTTGCAATGAAATTATAGAGTATCGTGCATGCCAATACGCTATCTACTTGTATAGGAAAAGGATAATGCGGCTTAGCACACAAAATCTTAAAATGGTTCTTTAATGTGCCAAACGCAGATTCAATCTTAGACCTCAATGAAGAATGTCTTAGATTGAATAATTCCCTTCTATTCTTTGGTGTTTTACCCAAATGTTCTTTCAAATGATATCGAACATCTCGGTATGGAGAGATGAAACTTGGCATGGTTGGGTACCCAGCATCACACTGATAGTATTTTCCTACAATTTTATTAAGAAAGTTGTTAAGTCAAGTTTGAATATTAAACTTATAAAATTTTAAGGTAAGTCTTTATTTAATTACCATCATACACTCGCAATCCATGTGGTTGTGATCTAGACAATGCATCCTGAAGAATCCAATAATCATTTGTAGACCCCTCCTAACCTGCTAGAACATATGTGAACAACTTGTTTAGGGTGCAAGCTGCAAGCACATTCTGTGTAACACATTTGCGGCCTCGAAATCATGCAACAAGATTAATGGGAAGCATAGCATCAACATGAGTCCCATATATCATTCCAATGCAATCCTATAATACGTATATCACACATCTAAATTAAAACTTACTTACATTGATTATACATTTAAATATGCTTAAAGTGTAGATATACCTTAAAATAAGGGTAGTATAGTCGGTTGTTAATGATCTCTTGAGGAATGTCATTGGGAGCTTGTCTCATGTATCGTCCATGCAGGCAAATAATTGCTTGTAATACCTTATTGAAATATCTACTAACCGTCTCCCCTAATTTTATAAAATGAGATCTGACAGTGCGATTTTTAGATTTATAACCTAGAATGTTCAGTGTCATGATAAATTGTTCTTCCACTGTTACATTCCTTGAGTCTTTTTAGTAGGCTATTATTCCTCATTATACTCGCTAGTTTAACAAAAGCACCACTCAGCATTCTAATATAATTTACCCAACTATCACTAAAACCATTATAAATTCGCTCTATGTACTCAATTCTAGTTCTCTCTTGTCTTTTTTCCCCTTACCTCGACCACTACGAATTGATTACGTCTAGCTTGCATTCTCCTTATGACAGTAATTATTATAATTAAAATGGATAGGGTAGCACCTTGTACCATATTAACGACACTTTGTTTATCAGAACAATCACCATCATTATCCATCTATGATGCAACAAATCATTATCTAGTTAGAAACTAAATTGAATTCTAACAAAATCAGAACGAAATACAAATTACAAAATACTAACATGGATTACTGCTATATCTAAGCAACAAATATTAAAACGACATAACTAGCATTTAAAAATCTCAAATATATGAACTTTTAGCTCCTAAATTGAAAAAACTAATTAACAACACGCTACAGTAACATTTTCATACTATCTAATAATCATATAATTAAAAAACAAAAAATTTGATCTTTTTGTCTTCAGGTGAAAGGTCCATGCACAAATTTGATTTCTTAGCTATAAAATCCACTTTTTCATTCTAAGTTCATCACTTCTGTCAATCTGGTATCTCATTTTTTCAAGATTTGTATAGACCATCAAGTTTCTTGATGAATATTTCACTTCTGTCAATCTGGTATCTCATTTTTTCAAGATTTGTATAGACCATCAAGTTTCTTGATGAATATTCTACCCTGAAGCTTTAATATGTATAGACCATCAAGTTTCTTGATGAATATTCTACCCTGAAGCTTTAATAATTTGTTAAATGGTACCATAGTAGTTAATTTTCCATGATTGCGATTACTATACAAGAGCTATAGTTGAAAAAAATAGATTAAAGGATGAATGACAAAGGTAGTAGATCAAAAAAATTCATTAGTATGTGTTAATGTTTAGAGAAACTTTATAAGAAGTTAGAACTATCCGCATGTACAATAGTTATGTTTAGAGAAACATTATAATTTAGTCCAAAACTCATATTGGGAATTTGCATAAACTAATTTTAAAAACTACTTCTAAATTAGAAAACGTTAAATTTGTAACCATTATTGGGACAAAACTTATTCTAAAATTACAAGTTTATAGGAAATTTTAGTCATAAATAATCAAAGCGAACCATTACTCATATTTTTTTAAAAAAACATCAATCATAACGTCTTTTAAAGTAATGCTTCAACCAACAAGTAGTAAAATTACAATATTTATCAGTCACAAAAGGTGAATTTCACAAATAAATAATTAAATAAGAATTGCAAACACTTCACACAAAACCAACGGAAATAAACTAATTTTCAACCCCTCCAATTTTTTGTGTGAAAAAACCGACAACCATAAAAGAATTTTTCTCAAAATCCTAAATATTACTCTGGGTGAAAACAATATTTTAGCATATCTCAAAATTGGCATAAACTAATTTTTCTCTAACATGTTCAGATCTGCTAAAACAATTTTCATACAAAACCAACTTTTTAAGAACAAGCATAAACTAATTTTTCTCAAAATCCTAAATTTTACTCCGGGTACAAAAATTTTTTACCAGATCTCAAATTTGGCATAAACTACTTCTTCTCAAACATGTTCAGATCTGCTAAAAAAATTTGCTCTAAAGTCTTATAAATTAAACTGAACACAAATCTCAGATCTAAATAAGGTTGGCAATTATCAGATAGCCTTCCACCAATTTCTTAGAAAATTGATCTAAATTAAACTAATAATCCAAAAAATAAAAAAACTTTAATTTTCACCTTGGTTATGGAAGCAACAGTGTCGACAAAGATCAGATCTGATAAATTGGTGACACAAGATCAAAACCCCCTCCCCCAATTTCTTCGATTATAGGGGCAAAGAAGAGAGCGGGAGTTTATGGCAGGAGGAGAGAGGTAACTATTAGCTCAAGAAAGAAATCAACGACGAAGCTAGAAATCCGATGTGGCAAAGTTTTTATCGATTTCACTCGGATGGGGAAGGAATCGGGGCCGAAGAAAAAACCTAGGTGGCGACGATTTTCCGCTTCGTTTCCCTCTTCAACCCTAGAGAAACAAAGCTGGTAAAGAAATAGTGTGGAAATGAAAAATCTAAGGTGGAAGGGAAAAATGACGTGGAGGAGTTTAAAAAGTTTTCCACAGACCTTAAATGCGAACCCCCTTAATAGAAATAACATGCACCCATTTATGACTTATTTAACTAAATTAGTGGGTTTAGATGGTGTTAGACCCTAGAGGGGGGTGATTAGGGTCTTATGCTAATCTAATCCGATTATATGCCAATTAAAATTAATTAATAAGTTATCCTAGCAAGTATGAAATATAACAATTATATATAAGCTAGGATAAGCAATATGAACAACAAAGAGATATATCCTATGATATATGCAAGGATATGAAACTAACACAAGGGGTAAACAATTTAACTACAAATGTGATAGGGCAAAATGATCAATAAGCAATACACAATGACGATGTAAGATATGAACATGAAAACAAGTGCGCCAATGCAATCACAAAGAAAGGATATGTTTACGAGGTTCGGTCCCCACGACCTACGTCCCCGCTCCTCACCTCGAGGAGATCTCCACTATCACAACCGGGTTTTCTACGTTCACCCGAACAACGTTTACACCTCACAATACAATCACTATGCAATCACACCTCACACACTAAGTGTTGGTCCTAGCCCGTGTCCTCCTCCTCAAGTGCTCGGTTACAACCTCTCCCTAGGCACGTCAACCGACGCCACTCCTCTTGGATTCAACCCCGTCTCTCACCACACACTTCTCTCGGTGTACAAATGTATTACAAGTGACTCCTCACAATTAGGCTCAAAATACAACAGGATTGTTCTCTACAATAGATGAGAACTCAATGTAAGCTCACTCTCTAAGTCACACAATCCCACAACCTAAATTATACAATGTATGCAAATACAATAAGCTCAATGGTTGTGTGTGTACAAAGAGATAAATAAAATCAAATCAATTAAACTCAAATATAAAATCTAGCTTAAGAACAATGATAATCAAACAAGTATATAAATGTAAAGCTAGAGATTGAGTTTAGAAAACTTCTCCAATAGATGACAAGATGGAGAGATGGAGATTGGAGCCCAAACAAGAAGATGATCTCCTCCACTTGTGAAAACAATCTTCAAACCAAACAAACACTAAAACACACTTAAACCCTTGTTTAAAACTCTTTAAACTTGTTTAAAACATTTCTTGAGTACCCTTAGAAGTATGAGGGCATGGAGTATATATAGGCTCATGAAACAAGCCCAAAAACCCAAGAAAACCAAGCAAAAAGACAAAAAAACGGATATATCAAAATCTGGGAATTATAGCCGTTAGCTACAGTAACCAACGTCCAGAGACATTTCCGGTCGACCGGTCCGGTCGACCGGATTACTGTAGCAGTGCGCAGCTGTTTTGTAAAATCAATTTAAAATAGTAAATGAACTCCAAAAATTATGAAATTTTGTGAGAATGTTTTAGACATGTAGAATAACATGTCAGAGAAAGAATTTCTGAAAAATCATTTCCCAGTTGAGAGAAATAAATGTTTGAACACAAAAATTCAGTTTCTAAAAATCTGCTGTGATACACGATTTTGTAAAATAAATTAGGCATAGTAAATCAACTCCAAAAATAGTAAAAACTGGAGGAAAGTTTATAAACATGTAGATAAACATGTCAGAGAAAGAATATTTCAAATATCACTTCCCATTTGTAAAAACTCATCAGTTTTGTAAAACATGCACGAACATGTGCACGAACGAAAACGTGAATTTGTAAATTCCTTTAAACATAACAAATCAATTCCAAACTTGATGAAACTTTGAGAAATGTTTGTAAACCAATTGTGAAATCTCATTATTTTTCAAAAGTGTTCAAAACATGAAAACTCAAAAACTATGTATGTATATATATAACTATATATATGCATAGAAACCAAAACTTATATATATATATATATATATGACTATTTATATATATACGAAGAAACCAATAAATGTGTGTGTATAGATAATTGAGCTTAGAGTATATAACACACATAATATAAATCCTAAACTAAATTACCCAAGCTAGATCTTGATCTTCAATAAGCTCTTCTAGGTAATCTCGCGGATGAAGCTTTAACTTGGATCTTGAACTTTGAATAGCAAGGCTTCACCGACATTCCGCCAACCTCCTTTGGATATGATCGTTGAAGCTCTATTCCATCCATCCTCCAACAACGTTGTTTGTCTACAAAACATAGGAATGCACAAATACTAGACAAACAACATTAGTAATAAATTGTTTGTTAAACATCATCAAAACAAGAAGGCCAACAGATGGGTCATTTAGTGAGTTGATATGGGTGGACAAATGAGTTTCAATGAATTTTACCATCCCTAAAAGTGGACAAGTAAAACTAAAATGATAGGTGAAAAATCTAAAATATATTTTCTCCGTCTTTTTCTTTTTACTTTTTATCCACTTTTTCTAATTTCTAAAGAAAGTGAAATGAGCTTAAATACTAATGTGACATCCTTCACTTTCCAATTTAAATTTTATTCACTTTTCAAATGCCAAACAAGAAAAGATTAATAAGTAAATCCTCTTTTTAATTTGGATCTACTTTTCATTTACTTTCCCTTTTTCAAACATAACAGAAAGAGATAGTATAGCTTATTAAATCATCATCTATCAAATCTTATAATGGTCTTTTAAAAAAATTAAAAAAACAAGGAAAAATTACTTCAAGACCCTAAAAAT